TTTTCAGTAGGCATGTTTTTAGCAATTCACTTGTAAATAAAAGTATTTACATTTTAATGTTATCTCTTTTTTAATTGTGTGAATTGTTTATTGAAACAGTCCTTTAAATTCTATCATTGTATTTGAAGCTACAGCAAATTCAGTCTTATTTCATGTGGAATGTGAACCAATTCATAAATAAAATGGTGCTCAGGTGAGGAAAGAAATCAGAATTCTGCTGCCTGGGTAGACTTTGATGTATAAAGTCCAAATGACTCAAATATTGTTTTAACTAATTCTTAAATCTAACAATGAGAAGAAAAATAAGATTATAAAGAAGACTCTAATTTTCCCCTGAAAATGATTTTTTTTTTTAAAAAAAAAGTGTAATAAACAATAAAAGTGTCAAAGAGAAATAATAAGAAAAAGAGTCACATAGAAATGATAAGACTGGGAGGAATTGTCAAAATTGGAGCCCATTATTAAATTTGGTTAAGTGGAAGTATAGTACCAGGGGACAAATAGAGGAGATGGTTTTATTGGGGAGATGAATGAATTCTGAGCCTACCATGCAGCCACTGTGTTCAAAATCTTGTACCATAGGCAGAGACAACTTGGTGCCCTGCAGAAATTTTTAATTCCCACTAATTCAGCTCCAGTCTATAAGGCCAGTGCAAGATATTGGTGAGTCATAATATAAACCATGTGGAAAACATTGCTTTTCCCTGTCATCCATAACAATAATGTACAGAACTCATTGGAATAGTTTGCTTTTCTGTTCATTTCTGATCCCCTCTATCTCACTTCCTTAGTTTCCATCACATACTAAACTTGTTGGGCTATAGGATGCCACAGACTAGACAGCTATTTCTGGGCCAGTTATAGGTTGGAAGCTTTCTGGACTAAGTTCATCACACACTTCCGGAAATTAAGCCCAGTAAAAAGGCCCGTTGTGTCTTTCAGGTCACCGTTTTCCTCTTCGTCTCTTTGCTACGGCGGAGCGGTTCAAGTTTCTCTGTGTTGAAAAGTTGAGATTCAGGTGGTGGGGGGAGGACTGTTATTTGCTCTCCAAGGGCGTCAGCCGGATGACCCGGGTCTGAGAGTTTCCCAGAGGAAGATAAAGCGATCTTCCATAGACAAAGACGTCGATGGCCGTCTCTTTAGATAAACTTTCTCTCAGATAGCGACCTCCATTATGGGTAGATTACGACTCTCAGAATTCCAAGCCATCAAGATGGTCTTCTCGAAAGAGACCCTACTCCACCCAGCAAATCAATGCCGCTTCGGGCGGTGACGGGAGGAGTGAGCCAGACGGGTGGCTGCTTGGCTTTCAGATCAATGGGCGGACGGCGCCAACCTGATCAATGTGCGGCTGTAACTAAGACGGCGGTGTTTGCTGGTTTCCGCCAAGGATCCGCCTTCTCGCCTCCCGCGATCAAAAATCTTAGCATCGCAGCTGTTGCGCAAATCTGTGCCGGATTTCTAGAAACCGAATGGCTGTCGAGCCCTGCCTTACCGGAAGAGCGAAGAGCTTTTGTTCATCCTATCGCCCCTACTTTGCTGACAGAAACCTCTCCATATTACCCCAAGAACTTACAGTGGAAATTCCCATTGAGGTCCTGGAGGCATAGTAAGTGCCCAACCCAAAGGTGCTCTCCACATGTTTTTGACTTTAACAGGCACCAATATGAGCCAATATGGCACACAGTGCAATGGACATTATAGTTCAGCCAAGCAATAATCTTATCAATCATCAAGAAGATCTGATTGTCTTAATATGAGCACTGCCTTGCCCCCAGGTTCCCCTTCCTAGAAGTAGAGGGTTGCAAAAGATTGATTTCCTAATGCCATATCCATTTGTTTTCCAGTTGAATCCAGTTTATTGTTTGTTTCCATTACTCTCAACCAACATACTCAACCTAGTTTCCATCAGATACTTTTCACCTTGCCCCAATTCAAGGAGTCCCTTGGCTGGTATACATATGGAAGGAGAAACTATGTAAGCAAAATTCTAATCATTATTATTTTACAAAATATTCCTCTGGATCTGTTCCACACAAAAAAAAGCATGTATGCTTTGTGTGTTTGGTAATTCACCAAATACAGGTAGTCCTAGACTTACCACAGTTGATTTAGTGACTGTTCAAAGTTACAACAACACTGAAAAATGTCACTTGTGACCGTTTTTCACAGTTATGACCTTTGCACATGATCACGTGATCAAAATTCAGATGCTTGGCATCTGGTTCATATTTATGACCTTTGCTGTGTCCCAGGGTCATGTGATCATCTTTTGCAGCCTTCTGACAAGTCAATGGAGAAGCCAGATTCACTTAACAACTGGGTTACTAACTTATCAACTGCATTGATTCACTTAACAACTGAGGCAAGAAAGGTCATAAAATGCGACAAAACTCACTTAACAAATATCTTATTTAACAACACACATTTTGGACTCAATTGTGGTTGTAAGTCAAGGACTACCTGTCATCCACTATCAGTAGCCATTCATGGTGAACTAAAAGACTAAATATTCATGAAATTATAAAACAGATTAAGAGCACCGATGCTAAGATTCTGTGGTACTCAAATCAAGATTTTAATAGGTTATTGTTTCAACTGAATCTATTTAAGATTACAGAGTGGCAGATATGTGTGAATTTGGATGTACATTCTTGTTAATGAAAGTCAGGATTTAAAGCATTTCTTTTTTTAAAAAAATAACCACTCCAATTCTATCATATTTATGTAGATTGCATGAATACTCTGTGCAGTCTAATTCAATGCCTATTTTGTAAGAAGAGCATTTTGCTAAATTCAGTCACTGGGGCTTCAGAGTTATTCCCTGCTTGAATTTCATTGCCTGCACACAAACCAACGAGTTGGTTCTAAAGTCCCTGTAAAGCAGAAGAGAGTATCAAAGAAGTATAGCAATGCTGTGGATGTGATTAAACAGCAGAAATTCTGTTTTTCCCCCTGTGGGAGATTTTCTGTTCTATCCCTCCACTGCCACCATTCAACACTTAACCTCCAGTGAACACTCCTTCAAATGGCTTTGCTCCACTCCACAGAAAAATGTATGGTGCTCCCCTAATTGCGTCAGATCTGTGCAAACAAATGACAGCCTCTGAAGCACTTAACCAGACTATTTAAGGAGAAACTCTGAATGGCTTTGCTACATTCTGGAGAACGTTCCTTCTCCTGGCTAGTCAGCAGATCTACCTGCACTTGATTTGAAGGTAAGATTGGAACATTTTGCTAAGACTCTTTTAATTGGGGAAAATAGAGCAGCAGAGGGTGACCAACATTTTTATACGGTTTATGCCATTTGAATTTCTCTCCATAGTTTTGCAAATTAAATCTTCTGCAATATTCAAAATTGAGGAAGACTGCTTAACAAGCATCTCTTAATCTTAACCAAATTGTACATAGTTCATTCATAATATTTACCCTGGGCAACAGTATTTTATTTTTGGGGAGGAGGCTATGAAATTGCTTGCTACATGTTAGGATAGGAAAGACTTTTTCATGAGCATTCTAAACTATACCGTCAGGGAACAATGGATTGCAACCAAATTTTTCAGTGCAGTAAATCCTGTGCTCAAATACAAATCATCTTGCACCAAGAGTAATTGTTATTCTTCAGTCTCTAGATAAAGGAAGCCTTAATTATTTACAGTTTTTTAATTGCATCATTTGGATTTTTATCTATGTATTTCTATATTTGGATTGTAGTCTAAAAGAAGCATGATCATCATAAACTTTTAATTTCTAAGGTTTGGTTATGAGAAGTATTGAACGCAGAACAAAAAGTTGGCACTGTATTACTTTTCTTTTATCTTAAAAGTCAATACTGACCACAGAAAATGTATGTAATTATGACATATCATTATTAAGCTTGTGAAAGACTTAAAATTTAAAGACCTTTAAGTCACCATGATGTAAAAAAGATGTTGAGAGTCTAGAAAGAGTACAGAGAAGAGCAACAAAGATGATCAGGGGACTGGAGGCTAAAACATACAGTATAACGAACGGTTGCTGGAATTGGGTATGTCTAGTTTAATGACGAGAAGGACTACAGGTGACATGATAGTAGTGTTCCAATATCTCAGGGGCTGCCACAAAGAAGAGGGAGTCAAGCTATACTCCAAAGCGCCTGAAGGCAGGACAAGAAGCAACAGATGGAAACTAACTAAAGAGAGAAGCAACCTAGAACTAAGGAGAAACTTCCTGACAATTAGAACAATTAATCAGTGGAACAACCTGTCTCCAGAAGCTGTGAATGCTCCAACACTGGAAGTTTTTAAGAAGAGACTGGACGGCCATGTCTGAAATGGTATAGGGTTTCCTGCCTGAGCAGGGGGTTGGACTAGATGACCTCCAAGGTCCCTTCCAACTTTATTATTATTATTATTATTATTATTATTATTATTATTATTATTATTATTATTATTATTTAGCAAAACATAAACTATTCTTCCACTAAAATAATTGATCTTATATACATTTAGCTGGAGATTGATCGTATTTTGATGCCTAGGAATTGTATGCTATATTGCAGTATATCCAAAAAATATATCAAGTTAAGAGTTAATATTCAAATTTCATTTCTTTCTCTCACAAATTTAGAATAAGGTGAAATCATGATTATGGCACACCTTTTAAAGCCCAGCGATCACTTTTAATTACTGTTCCTTATTAAACATCTAATAAGCATTAAACCCTATAAAAGCTATATTTTTCATCTTGTGATTTTCATCTGCATTTTGGGATCTGTAATTGGAGCAGAGAATTCCATAAAAATTGAAAAACATTATGAAAAAAGAAGTGCAATGTTGTGTTGCTGCAAATTCTACTGCTGAACCATATGTGAATGTAATATACAATGTAATATTTATTAATTGGATGCACTGATAAAGAACAAGCACAAAAGTACTAGAATAAATATTTTAGTGTATTTTAAAAGCACAATCTTTGCAAATCTGAATATTTGAATCTTTTCTTCTTATTCTTCTTTAGCTATGTATAGTGGGATTTGCATCTTCCTGTTCCTGGCTATGTTGTCCCTGAACTCCTTGGGACAGCAAACATCTGGATCCCACCATGCAATGACAAATCTCGAGCAGAGCTTATTAGAAAATCACCGACATGCCCGTATTCCAACCTCAGGAAAACCTGCCCAGCTGGTAGATGGCAGCATTGACCAAAAGGCCAACCTTGGAGCTCTGTTAGCCAAATATCTCCAGCAAGCCCGAAGAGGTATACCTTTGTCATTTTCTGTTCCAGACATTCTTTGGTTTTAAAGAAATCCTCTTTCAAAATTCAATACATGAATAGATTCAAACTGAAGTTAGAGTGATCTCATTCTGTCAGAGCTGTGAGAGAGGAAAGGCGAGCATTATTGATCATTCCCACAAAATGTGGCCTTTCCAACACCTCTGGAAGACACTAGCTTGGGAACGTGGCAGAGACATTAAAGTTGTCTTTTATTAGCAATCAACACAGTTATCCCAAGCTGGCATCATCCAAAAGTGTTGAGACAACACAAATCAACATTCCAAGCTAATATGGGAATTCGCCTAGGTGAATCTTTCTTCAAATACATACAGGAATCACTGTTTCCCCAAAGCAGAAGAAGGTTAGTAAAACTTCCTCTTCTCTTCCACATATCATCACATCTTTCTCAGTTTCATTCTCCCAATGTGACTGCCTTAATTATCCAGCAATATTACTGTAAATCCCTTTCAGCGGCTATAATAAAGAAATGAGAAGTTTATGTTCAGTAGTATATCTCCCCATACCAGAAGACACAGTAGTTAATAAGAAAGAGATGATTGTCGATGCTGAAAGCCTTTAGAGCCATTTATGGAAGCTGATTGCAAGGCTAACTAAAGACCAGTGATGGGCCCATGTGAAACACATTAGGAAGCAGAATTGTTATCAAATCCCAATTGTTAAATGTTTTCTTTAGTCTTTCATTTTTTTTACAAATAGGAAGGAAGGAAAACAAGCATTAGCATCTGCTATAAGTGCTTATGACATTATATGCACCATAATATAATCATGCAAATGGCATGGATGATATAATTTGAATCAGAAATCATGTCATGATTGATGCATCAATCACAGTGTGATTGTTACCCCCATTTGAGTGATATAATGAGATGTGGGTTGTTATCTTCTGTAGGCCTTCATGTTAGCAGAGAATAACTAGGGAAGAGTAAATAAGTTAATGACTTTGATGGCAAGAAGGAAAAAGGAAAGAAGGAAAAAAAGAAAGAAAAATTGCATTATGGAAGAAGAGCTGAAAGGAAATAACAGTCTGGGTAGCTCTTCACTCTGAAAGGTGTAATTTTAGGTGTTAATATGATTACATGAAAACAGCATGGTGAAACTCTGCGTGTTGTTTGCTTCCATCTAAATACTAAATGCTGATTGAACATCAGTGGGACACACTTGTGGATCTTATTTCCACAGAGGCAACAGAATAAGCATGTAACTTGCATAAGAGTTTTTTGTCAAGAGAATTCTATGTCCCACCAATCCAGTTAAATGAACCTTGCAGTCTTTTCTGAATCATCAACTGGGTAACTTTGTTTAATTCATACAGCATCATCAATTACCTGGAGGAGAAATAAATACCACACAGGAGATCAAGATTTAGATTCAGACCAGTTATTATTTATACAGAGATATAAAGAAAATGAAAAACAGTAATAAAACTGAATAAAAATTCCTACCTAAAGGAATTTTTATTTTGATTTATCTATTTTATTGGACTAGAAAGCTTCCTGAAACACATAGTTCTCTGCTTCCATTTCTTGGCTTCTCCAGGTTTTTGAAGAAACTCGTTGTAAATCAGAGGCTTCTAAGAATCAAAAGCTTAATCTTTATCCTGCCTTTCTGCATGGACTTCTCTCTAACTTTCTCTTTTACTTTCACATATCTTTCCTACGTAGTCAGTATATGGTTAGTAGAGACTGGGGAAATATGCTTCTAAGACAGTATACATCTCTCATTCATAAAGATATGGTTTGTGAGTTTGGGATGCAAGCTACATGCTTTCAAGTAGTGCTGGATTACTCATCTGTTTGCCCTAATCTTCATCATGATTGTCCATATATATCATCTGGTTTAAATGTTTGTATAATTCTTATTATATTTAAATGTATGCCTGCTTGGGGTTAATTTTTAATGATTGTCTAAAACAATGTGTGTTCCACTGTTGATGTTCACTCAAAATTTTTATTATTACCATGACAAAATAATGACTTGTCATAAGATAAGAAAATAATTGGTACAATAATGAAAATGTCTCAAATTAATGTCATAAGATGGGCAATCTTCCTTCACCCAACATTCTCCAGACAAGTTGGAAACAGAACTCCCATAATTCCAAGTCAACTTTATTAAATATATTTGAGAATCATAATTCTTCATTACTATAAAATATCTAGAGAACAATAAGTTAGGAAGCCTGAACTGTAATAGATTAGAATTTTCCATTAAAATCATTAAGGAGACTTGAGAAAATATGATCTTAGGATCTAAGTGGAATTCATAGCAAATTAGCTGAAATGTCTGAACTGATGTACATTCTTGTACTTGGGTTTTTAAAGGCCAGTTGGGTAAAAAGTGACAGTAAGGGAGACATTCTTCAGCCTTTTCTAAATTGTGATTCTACAGAGCTTTTAACTGCTAACAAAGATTATTTTGAACAGATAATTTTCTCTACAATCAATTGTTCCCCACAAAAATAAGTATATAGTTCTCCTGGAATAAAGATTATCAAGATCCCAGCACATGCATTTGTATGTTTGATAGATTCCCCTCACTAGAAAAGTCCATCCAAGAATAAAGGAGCCAACTATATAATAATAATAATAATAATAATAATAATAATAATAATAATAATAATAATAATAATAATAATAATAATAATAATAATAATAATAATAATAATAATAATAATAATAATAATAATAATAATAATAATAATAATAAAGTTGGAGGGGACCTTGGAGGTCATCGAGTCCAACCCCATGCCCAGGCAGGAACCCTACACCATTTCAGACTACATATAAAATGTAGTTTGATTGTAAATTCTTGATGAGGCTCACTTGAAGGATATCTTCCTTGGAGCAGGATAGCTCCCAGTTGGAGAGAGGATAAGGGTGGAAAAGCCACACATCCAAAACCCTAATTGAAAACAAACTGAATTGTTATTAATTGTGTTTATTTGAACTTTCTTCCAAATAAATACCTTTCCAATTGCAGATTAAATTACTCCCAGGTTCCTTGAAGCTGTTTCACTTACACTTGTTTACAACACCAAAAGGGAGATTATAGGAACCAAAATAGGTGAACAATAAAGCAGGAGTGCTCAGTTTGATTTTAGAGTAATCATTTTGTAATCTAGGACCCTTTTTTGCTTAAGACAATTTTTCTCTCAGTAGCTGCCTTGTGTTTTTTTTAACCATTTGCTTTGTACTAAGGTGACAGAGATCTCCTCTAGAACATGCCCTTTATATATCAAAATCTGCTTTCAGTTTCTCTGTGATAGCGAGCACTTGGTAAGCCTTGGCGACCAAATAATATAGCTGATAAAAATAGTGTTTGATAAATTTCTCAAAGATAAAGATAATATTGAATAATTAAAGGATCACTAAAAAAAATCTTTTAACAGAGATTGAGGTTACTATCTATCAACTTTATTAAGATCTAGTCTCCTAGGCAGAATAGCCAATGTTCAAGAGAAAGAAGAGTGCAATCCATCAACATATGGAAGACTATAGGTTGTCCATTCCTAGACTATTTCCTGAATTAGCTGATTATGACTGGAGAATGGAATCTGATATGGAATGAAGCATACAATGACCTTCTGAAGTTTTCTAATGTTTGAAAAAAATTGGATCAAAAGTCTCTTTCTCTTGGGAAAGAGAAAGAGAATTGACTGAGACATTCTCAGTCAATTTTGTCAGGGCAATCACTCTCAACAGCTACTAAAGAGCCAGATGGAAGGAGTTCTTTTATTAGAGGACCAGGGAGGCTGCAGACCCAATGGAGAGATCCTTCTAGGCTATTCACATGTACCTCTCAGCCATCTCCCAGCTCAAGACAATTTCTCAGAAATAAATGTTCTTTTCCTTTGGCAGAGAAGAAATTTTGAAAGCAAATACTACTTATTTAATACTGGTAGAAAAAACTGTTTTTAAAAAAATCAATCAGGCAGCAGATCAACAGGCCTGACCTATTTTCTTCAACCTTGACAAGAGATCTGTACAGATAAAACTCCAGTTGGTTAGCAGTAGACCAGTATGTCTTTATACGGGTTTAATGGATTACATGGGGGAATCAGGATGTTACAGAATCTGCTCTTTGTCTGTGTATTTGTGTGTCTGTGTGTCAGCTTGGAACTTGATATCAAACTAGTAAGAAACAGTGACAAAATAATGGTTCAAGGTGGGGTAATGAAGTTTTAAAGGAAAAGGTGCTATATATTTAGCCATTAATTTTTTGATCAGCACCAGAACCAGGTTTACAAGAACAATCTCAAACAAACTGCCTTTTTGTTTTCTGCCCAATGTAATTTGTTTCAGTACACTTTTGGATTTTTTTCTTTTCTTTTTTGTGAATGTAGGTAGAGGTGACAAGATAATGAATATATCCATTGTTGCTACTGCTGGGAAACTAAAATTTTAAAATTATCCAGATAGTCACCGGTGCATCTTGATTCTGTCCTTTAATTTTATTTTAGAATGCATTTTGCTAATAACTTTTCTTAATGATGCTTTACAAAAACACATCCTTCTGGCACTGTAACTAGGGACATGCATCAGCAATTTTACTATCTAATTATATATATATATATCGTGGCAGTAATAGAAGTATCCGAACACCAGGATAAAAATCTTAAACCAAAGCTGTTTAATCTACAAAAAGTACTAAGCTTTCGTCGGCCAAACTACTGACATCGTCAGAGTGTAAAAACTGCCAGATCCGGGAGTTAGTTTATATAACTGGCCACCTCTGCGCTCTAACCGTTGAACGGGTCATTGATCCACTCATTAGTACCGGCCGTGCTGTTCTTAAAGGGCCCGTGCTTGTCAATGCATCCGTAGTTTCCAAGGTTGCTCCCCTGCCCTCAGTCATTGTTATTCCCCTGAGTTTAAAATTAGAGGTATAGCACAATAAATGTTAGCAGAAGTAAAAATGTAGGTTTCATATGATCTTGGATGATAATGTCCACTATCACAGGATGTTGATTTTACAACATTTAATGTTCTATAATTGGTTTAAGATATAAAATAATTCATAATATTAAAAATGAGTGTTTATTTGTATGTCGCTATCCAATATTTAGGTTCCACTGGAAAGGTTTCCGTGATGGGGTTACAGAATTTTGACCCTACCCACAGGATAAGGGACAGAGACTACATGGGCTGGATGGATTTTGGACGTCGCAGTGCTGAAGAATATGAATACTCCTCTTAAAAATTGTCCAACTTTGCTTAAAAGAAATGAAATTAAAATCCTTGTACAGAAATACGATTTTCTGTAAAAAAAATATATATGTTGGCATCCTTTACAAATTGGTGTTTAAAATATCTGTATTTGATGTAAATTTGTCTGTAAAACTATACAATATATTTTGCAAACATATGCAGAGTTTTCAAGAATGTGGATATATCAGAAGTATTTTATTCATTTCTTGATAATTTTATCATTGCAAATGTTGCTATCTCTTTCTTAAAAAATTGTTTGCAATTTAACACATAAGCCATTTGTTAATTTGAACTATTTATGTGTTAGAAAGTATCAACCCGAGTCAGATTCAAATACACTCAAAAGTAGTATTATTGTAATGAGTGAGACTTTAAATTTTTCATGATCAACTGAATTGACTGCAATGAATCCTCTTTACATATGATTAAACTTTGATTCTATTTATTTAGATATTAACACTATAGAAAAGTCATTATACCAGTACATTCAAAATTTGGTCAAATAATTTTCTAGGCATGTTATGGCCTCTGGTTATTTGATTTTGTGCAGTAAATGTGAAAATTCTGATAAAATTATTCACACTAGAATAAACAGAACTTTCCTTGCTTTGTGGCTCTGTATTTGCTTTGCAGTGCAAAATTACACTTATGTCTTTCTCTCCTCCTGATCACATAATTAAGCATAAGGATATGTTCCTATGACTAGAAGGGATTAGAACACTGTTTTAAATCTGAAAATGATGTTACACTATTACATTTTTAAAGGTTTTTTTCTAACTCTGCATTAACTTGAAGAAAAGGAATATTTTATAACTATAAAACATATAGTTGAAGAGGGAGTGGATTGCCAACAGTAATGGGGAAATGATGGAAAGGAAGATAGTGACAATATTGGCAGTAGCCCTGGAAAAGTGCTGGGAAGATTAGGGATGAGATATTGGAAAAATCAAGGGTGGTTCAAGTTCAAGGATGATAATTTTGGATCATTTGGTGCCTAATTTAAATAACATAGACACTTATTTAAATTTAAATGTTATTTAAATTTCTCTCTCTCTCTATGTCTCTCTCTCTCTCTCTTTCTCTCTCTCCCCACCTATTTATCTACCCACCTATCTACCTACCTGACAACTTACATCTATCTATCTATCTATCATCTATCTATCTATCTATCTATCTATCTATCTATCTATCTATCTATCTATCTATCTATCTATCTATCTATCTATCTATCTATCTATCTAACCAACCTATCTACCTACATCTGTCTGTCTGTCTGTCTGTCTCTCTCTCTCTCTCTTTTACCTACCTACCTACCTACCTACCTACCTACCTACCTACCTACATCTATCTATCTATCTATCTATCTATCTATCTATCTATCTATCTATCATCTCAGACCAAACATATCTTATGCACATTAAGCAGAATTCTTCCATTTATTTATTAAATAAATATTATTTAGGAATAAATAAATAATAAATGATAGACTCATATGATCAATCAGAAGTGATATGAGAATGACAAAATAAAAAAAAGAAATATTTGAATATGAGGACAATAACTGAGTTATTCTGTGTGAGAGAGTATTGGCAAAGATAGTGAGCTTGGTCAAGAACATTTTTTTCACTGATATCCAAATTATGAAGCAATTTCCAATCGTTGGTAGAGCTACATAGTATCATAGAACTTCATAAAAGAATGAATTTCAGAAATTAGGAGATGCCTTTTTTTCGATGCTGCCATGGGAAGTTTAAGAATCATTATGAATATGCTTCAGATCACCCAAACATCTTCCAGAAGAGTCTGCCTATTCCTGCTATATACTGTAGAACAAAGTTGGTTTCCAGTTAAATGCAACAAAGTTACAGAGAAAGAGAAGCAGAAATCTACATATTCAGCTCATCTCAAAAACGCTTGTTTTCTTTTTAGTTCAGTTGTGTTCGTTCCTTTACGAATAAGGCTGCCTAGGCATTTCCTACGGTGCCCAGAACATGTATTGAAGGTACTGTCAGTCTTGAGAGGCAGGCCAGGCCAGGCCAGAATCACGCCCAGCAGTATTAGCTCTATCTCTTTTGTAAGGTTACATTAACAAGTTCCTGCAAGTCTGAAAGTACTGTTCCTGTTCCTTACTTTTATACTCCCCAAAACTAGGCAGGATCCCTTCTGAAATGCTTTCATCACCCCTCCTTTGTCATCTTAAATTTTGTTTTATCAGAGTGCTGCCTGGGCTGTCAATCTTCTTCCTGTCTCTCAAGGTCATTCCCACATATCATTAGAGAGATATATTGAACAAAGCAGCATTTTAGATCACGGTAAGTGAGCGTAAGTAAAAGATAGATCTCTGAATTTCCAAGCTTATTGATAGTATTGTGTAGTGCACAATACACATTCACAATGGATTTTTGAAAGCAAAGGCTAAATAGATAGGAGAATTTTAATCTATTAAAATTCAGGGCATTATCAACATGTTATTGATTGCATTTTTTAAGACAATTCTTAACCATGTTGAGCCATTAGGGATGAGGCTCAGGCTAAATCACCACCATTATCATCAGTATAGTTCTTTCTCAATCGCTTGTTTCTATCAGATGCACCCACACAACTCCAAAGTCTGTCTCATCTCTCATTGCTGGTCTTTCATTAATTAACCAAACATTTTGATAATGCTGTGCCCACAGCCAAAATGGAACTTGAGGCAGGATATGGACTCAAAACAACACAACTGAGCTTTAATATCAACTAGCATGCAAGAATCTATAACTCCCTAACTAGATAAAAGCTACCTGTGTCCACTGCAGTTTCTATGTCATCTCAGAAGCATATATGGAGAGAGAGAAAAAACTGTGATGGAACTATATTTCTCTATGACAGGCGAATTTTAATTTATGGTAGCTTAATCTTCCACAATTCAACAAGAGCATCATGATTTTGTTAATGTTTTACTCATAAAGGACTGCAAAACACAATAAAAGTTCTTTTATAAGTCATTTTACACTCTCCTTACCTGTAGGAAAATATGATGAATTTTCTTTTACATGAATGAAGCAATACTCGATGTAGTGATAGTCATTGTGACCTGTTACATATATTTGCCTACACATACCTAACCTTGCGATTTCCAGATGTGGACCCTGATTTCCATAATACCTTAGTTTATAACCAGAAAGCAATTATATATGGAAAGGTGAACCATATACACTTGCTTCTTTACATAAAATTGGCTTTTTAATTATCTGTGACAATTTTTGAAAAGAGTTTAGTCTTCCCCCAAATCGCTAATTAATTCTCTTGATCACTCTGCCCCGATCTCTTCTACAAAACCTGGTTTCCTCTAATCAAATCTGACATTAGAAGCACACCTAGATGGCTTGGGAAAGGGAAAGATTTAAAGATAGGAAAATGGTCTCCAGGACTTGAGCTGTCCTCTTTTTTTTCATTTAAAAATGTACAACTCTCCCCCAATATATTCATAATTAGGAAAATGGATACTTCAGAAAATGGATCTATTGCTATCTGTGGCAAACTGATCCCTGCAAAAGCAAACTTTAAGTACAGGCAAGTAAGGAGATTGGTGTTTTTGTTGTTGTTGTTGTTTTAAAATAATGTTTTAGAAAATATATGCAAATACCATGATGTTTCTATATATACATCTACCTACATAAAAACTACAAAGATCAGTATAGGGCAAGCAATGATATTCCCTCAGATACCCTAAGAAAGCAAAAGCTGGACTTTGAAGAAGCAGAATAAGGAGAGCATTGACACTTTTAAACATTAGTATTGGAGAAAACTCCAGAGAATATCATGGGCAGCAAAAGAAAACAATCATCTGTGATGAATGCACTGAGGAAGATCTGAAAGACCAGGTTAGGAACAGATCATCATGGAAAAAATCTATTTACATGTTCACTAAGAGTCGAAAAAAACTTTCTGCCATATAATCAATCAATGGTCTTCTTAGGCTTAGATTATGGTTTATGGCAGTGGTGGCGAACCTATGGCAAACATGCCAGAGGTGGCACTCAGAGCCCTCTCTGTGGGCACATGCACCGTTGCCCCAGCAGAATTCGCCAGAGTAGCGAGCATGTGGCGTTTGGAAGTGACAGGACAGGAAGTGAGCGAGCAAGCGGCGTTTGCCCCCCGGGGATGCCCCAGAGATGGCGAGGAACTGGCCCCCGCCGCCCTGGCCCCCGCCGCCCTGGCCCCGGCCACGCTCACCCAGTCTGCTGTGACCATTGCAGCAATGCCCACCGAGTGGGCCACGCCCCCACTGAGGACACCACAATGCTGATGCAGCCCTGGCACTTTGTGATAAATAAGTGGGTTTGGGGTTGCAGTTTGGGCACTCGGTCTCTAAAAGGTTCGCCATCACTGGTTTATGGTGTAACCTAGTTTAAAGATTAATCTCTCTCAATCTATTTGGTTTTAAAGCAGGAGTGTCAAACTGCCGGCCCACGGGTCAGATGTGTCCTGCCAAAACTGCCCACCCCATTGCCAGCAATGGAAAAAAAGTCACGATATGTCGCAACATGTCATGTGACGTTTCAAGTTTGACACCCATTTTAAAGTATTGAATAGCATAGGTTTTCAGCTATAAAGACAAGCTACTGAATGATTGTTGCTAGCCAGATTATTTGTTTATTTCCAAATCAGTCAATGTTCTTTAAAGTGAATAATGAACATGCCAAGTTGATGAAAGGGTTTCGCACTAACTCATTGAGAGCTGAAGTTACTTTCTGAAATATGCTTCAAAAATAATTAACAAGAGTAGCATATAGCTGCTTCCTGAATAATTAACACAAAACTTTACAGAAGTTGTGGTAAACAATTGGGGCTACTATTAAATAATGTTGCTTGTGTAGGTTGACCTTGATTATTTCAGCTGAACTTATTAAAAAAACAGTTTTGTTAGAGAGCTGAAACCCAAGTTTAGAAAGTTTTTCAGATGCTATTTTGACAGTCTTAAATGGTATATACTTAAAGATGCAGGAATAAAATTTATAATACATAATCTATTATAAAAAAGGCTAATCTCTTTTATTTTCTCAGGTTACTAGGGAACTCCCACACACACATATTTTCTAATCATCCTTGTTTGCTTACCAGTTCCCTGCAATATTTACCAAATAATGTGCTTCTTCTTTTGCCCACCAAATTTTTGCTTGCTAGTGAATTTTGCACATACATCTGCTTATTTCAGTTAGATTTAAGGTCTTAATCAATGGTTGACAATTACTCCTATAAATTTATATACCCACAGATTAATAACAACAAGGATATTACATCAATCAATTATGGCCTTGGTGGGCAAAATCTTTTCAGGCATGAAATTTTAACAGGAGCAAAAACAAAAATGAACAAGAGATAAAAACATTTTCAGAATGATAGGCAAGTGTCTGGCATAGACTTCATAAGATAAACTTATTCGGATTAGAAATCAAAAAAAGATACACAGTTTTGCTTCAAAAAAAGCTTCCTTTTTCATGATAATTAACTGAAATTATTGTATTGTGAAGTAGTGAAAACAGAGAGCCCCAAGAGGATTTTTCCTTGGGAATATTCAGTCATGGATCCAGAAACTGTCCTTGTTAAAAATCAATGAAGAGTCTAAAATGTGAAGAGACTGTAATCTCCAAGTGATGCAGATGTAGCACATGAAAAGCAGGCCGCATTTATAAACAATCCTGTTCAATGTGTACATGAGAGATCCCCAACCCCTGGTCCATGGACTGGCACCGGTCCATAGCATGCGAGCAAGTGGGCCAGACAAACAAGCAAAACTCCATTCTTGGGATGCCGGCAGTATTGAAAACACCTTTTGGTCCACAGAAAAAACTTTCTCCATGGCACTGGTCCCTGGTGCCCAAAAGATTGGGGACCTCTGATATAGATAAATGACTGCGGCAGTAAGTTGGCTTGTCATTGTGGGGAAGATCCTGATTCTCTTGTCCAGCTTCCATGAATAATCTTGAAGGTTTAATTCTTGGCATGTGATACAAATTCACTAAGACTTTTGTCCAGTGTGTCTCAGTAAATGTTTCCAATAAATTGTGCTATTCACGGCAAAAGACAACATTCATGCCTAGGCATTGAGATTCTCATTCATCCGTTATTTATTATTTTAAGATTGATCATGAAAGATATTTATTTATATTTATTTTTGTATTTATTGGTACTGAATTCTGAGGCAGAATGCAAAGAAAATAGATTTATTTAGTCTCAAGCAGACCAACAGCTTTATTTGAGCTATATTTTTGGCAGGATGGTTATCTACTGAGCTAATGATATCACTACATTGCTCTTCTTTTTGCATTGGTTTTAGAGCGCCCTCTCCTGACACAATAATGGCAGAAAATGGACAAAGTAAAAAAATTTGAAATAGATTTTTTTGAAAAATGAAATTTATAAATGACCACTGACAAATATATGCTTGAATCTTTTAATATATCACAGGAATCTGGAATTGACTGAAATATCCCACTGACATATACAATCAGCGTGAAGTTTGTTCTTGAAAAATATTTGAAATAATTTATTAAGTAGAAAAATATGATAAACATTGCACAAATTTCTGTGGAATAAACAGCGAACCCCATAATTCATAAAATATATAACATAACCAATCCACTACATATTATCTATAAGGTTTTAAAGGAAATCCACTAAGTATTTCATTTTTTATGGAAGAAAATCAGAATTTAATTCTAATTTGCTTTTCCTTAGACATAGAATTAAAAAATGGGAAGAGCCATATAGCCATTGTAGCAAATGTCTTTCTTACCCATTTGAATATTACATTGTTGTGCAGGCTCTGAGGTGTTGCTTGATAAAAAAAATACGGGAAACCAAAAGTTGCCTTAAACCTTTACGTTTTTATTCAGCTGAACAAAGACAGGCCCCTCTCAAAGAGAGAAGCCCTGAATGACAGAAAATCCCTATATTTATACTTTTTGATTACGTATATAAGCAATCCACCCAGCAAAGTTGACCCAAAGACTTCACCCAGAATGGCTGGCACACCATAGAGAAGGGAGAAAGCGGGAGTAGCTAAAAATGTTCCTTCTGAGTGTTTCCCTAAAGACATTGTATGTTCTCAGGTTGGTTGAGACATTGGGTGTTTTCCTTGCTATCCTTTCATGACCCTGCAAGTGCCCAAAGCACATATTCACAATTAATACTTTCTGTTTTCCCCTAATTCCGTGTCAACAATATTCTCTACCCCAAATACAGTGACAGATATGAATATATACAAAACAGGGAAAAAATATATATAAAATCAGCTGGTGCCTTTAGGAAGTGCTATGAATCCATTGATCTACGAAGACTTTCTCATTACCTCTTTCCTCCCAATTTATACTGACCAAACTATCCCACTTGTTCAGTCCATATAAGTTTCACAATCGGCTATCAAAGATTAGCTCCATGCACTCTCGTTGCACACAGAAGCCAGCTCAGAAAAAGCATTTTAAAATACTTGCCATACATGGAGATGCGATCCCTTTCAAGTCCCGGAGTGCATTCTTTCAGTTGTTTGGCCAACCACCTCCCTGTGGCTTTAGGAATTTATAAGGGATTAACTCTTTCATTAGATCTTTAGTAAATTACTAGTCAAAGTTTTATTTCTCATAGTGTTTAGCATTTTCCCATTATTATTGTAAATTATATGCTGTCTTTGGTGTTGTTGCTGTAGCACAAAAATGACATAAATGAAGGAAATGGTGTGTCATTTTTCCAGAAGGTTGTTAATGAACTGTGCTTATTTTAAAAACGGTAGTTTTAATTTAGCAATTAAAAATCAGCCCAACAGAAAAGGTCTACAGTGTTTCCTATGAATCATTAAGAGAAGACATTTCCATTCTGGGACCAACCATTAGATCCTGAATCAGTAGACATCAGCAGATATTTTATTCTATGACATTTTACTGGCAACAGTAGCAATCTGATCATATTCATGCTAACTCTAAAGGCAGTTCAGTTTCCAAAGACTTCCTGGATATTTGTGGAGCAGATGGGATTCAGAATTATATACTTAGAATATGTATGAGAAATCATCACACAGCTTCTTCAGGGGCTATCTCATAAATCTCTGCAATTAAAATAATACAGTCTACATTGATCATACTTTTTCCCCATTTCTCAGATATTGCCTAGATATCATGCAAACCATATTATGGATTATTTAATTTTGGCTTAATGCATTAAACGAACTCAAGCATTCTATTTGATAAACTCCTACTGAACAAATTAGTTTAGCATTAGATGCAAATTCAGGATCTTAAAATATTCCTACAGTCTAAATATATTTAATTCTCTAGGAATCAATATAGACATAGATAATTTCAGGATACTTGATTATATATAAACACATAGATTATTTTTCATTTAATGTCATAAAAACAAATGATTGGGTATTTATCACTAGTTTTTTGGGAAATTGTTAGGAAATACATCAAAGCCAACTTTAGGAATTGACTTCAAAAACCATCAAAAGCCAGCAATGAAATAAAATATCTGGTGTAAAATATTCCCAGAAATCTTTTCTTGCCTAAAAACAGATTGCTGAATTCTGTTAAAGTATTCTTCTGTAATTTTACATATTTTTTGACATTAGAAAAAGTATTCAGAAAGCAAAAGCAGAAAATATATATAATTCATTAGTCCAACATTTCATTCTAAAGAAAATATAAATACTATTTAATGCGCTACTTCAGAGGTCCTCAACCTGTGGGCCATGGGGGGATTACAACTGGACCATGGAAATGGCCGGTGAGTGTGCGCACATGTGCATCCTCACTTGTGCAAGCAGGCGAGCAAGTGCACTCCATTTGCATGAGTAGCAGGCCCGCGTGCATGCCACTCACACAAATGCAGCTGCTTGCGCACGCTTGCGCAATACCATCTCCTCTCCCCTCCCACTAGTCCACAAAGCTTGAAATGTTGGGGAACTCTGCACTACTTCATCTTCCCATAATTGGCTGTCTTCTATGAGTAAGTGATAAATAATACTGTCTCATTTATTTATTCCATATATAATAATAAAGCTTCCTGATTTACTTGCTTTTTATTTCTTTTAATTCACAAATGGTATTATGGGCTGAGAATACATGAAAATTACTTAGACATTCATGATTTTTTTCATTTATTTAAAATTATCAATTTATTAGTTCTCTTTCTAATACATCCAAATGAAAAGATGTCACAATTTTGCAATTAAATGCCCATACACAAAGGGAAAGTAGAGCCAATAACAATATGGTGAAAAGTTTGTGGAATAAACAGAACTCTGAAAACACATGCAAAAATTGGTGGTATGTACCTTACCCTCTTTCATTCTTCTACATCTACATGCTTACTGCTCATTGCAGTACTGAACTGAATGATCCACCTAGTGTGTATTTTAATTAAAAGTCTGGCACAACTGAAATACACAGAAATAATGTGGAGACTGATGTACTGGCATTAAATAAATAAACAGAAACTGATTTTTTAAAAGCCAAAAAACACTGGTATTTATACAACCCATATATACCAATTGTTTCCAAATAACTCTAAAATATCCGATTTACATAATCACTTTTGTGTGGTTCCTATATAACCTCCTCTAAAATTAAGAGGCATCCGATGACACTGTCTCCTAGATTGTGAAGTTCTTTTTGTACTCCATTCTGTTTAATTCCCCCCCCCCCCATTACTACATACTGGACTGCTTTAAGCATTGTCTGAATAAGACCTGAGATCATAAACCACGCAACACAGTTGAAAAGTAAGAAATACAGATTTATGCTCTTCAGTCAAGCAGAACTTTTATGCTTTCTCCAAATGCTGGAGAGCAAATTGATTCAGTTGTAATTAGTAACAAATAATTAGAAATCAGAGTTTGATTTGGGCTTATTGAGCCAACTATACGTTATTATAACAAAAAGTCATTATACTTGAGAAAAGAACTATTTAAAATCTAAAATTATTAAAATCCTAGGACAAAAATGAGAATTACTCCCTAATTTTTGGTAACTACATCCTTGGTAGAAAGGGTGAGTACATCAGTTAAACTAATAATGTTCTATATTTTGTTTATAAAACTATTAACTTTCAGCAACTCAAAAGCTAGAGAGGTGGGAAGTGGCTGCAAATGTCATTTCTTTTACATTAAGCACTTGCTATTTTGGCATGTTTGTATTATAGATTTAAATTTGGTTTTTAAAGAGGCCTACTATTAACTCATTCAATAACTTTGGTTCCCAAGGAAAGAGATATTTATTTTAGTGTTTTTATCCTCATTAAAGCAAAGAATAATTTTAAGGCTATTACTTTCATTTTGTGTGTGTCATCATGATTTTTCAGTGTCTGCAGCAAAAGTTTATTTAAATATTTTTTTACTTTCTAACCAGGGCAGCTTTGAAAAAAATAATATGGAATATGATCAGGCTACAAAACAACAGTAGAGGCACAGAGCACACTTAGCAATGCTTCTCAATACATATTATTTCAAGTTTATTTCATAAGGAAAAAAAATCAAATCACTTAGAAATGTGACCCCTGAAGTACAATGTTCTCTCTTTACTACAAAGGCCAAAGAAAATGGTCAAAATGTTAAGCTACTGCTATGATAAATACTTTGTGAAAAATGAAGACTCCTCACAGAATTCATCATCCATCCTGAAATTCTGCAATCCTGACAGTATGAACAGTAATCCTTGCCAAATGATCCTGTCTCAGTGTTAAGTCAGGCTAACTAGAGAATTGATCATTCTTTTTCCCTATGCAAGGATCACTTTTTTCAGTGCAAAGAAAAACAAAACAGCCTTTCAAAATTTTAGCATGTTAAATGTTCAAAACTGTGACCTGATTCATCTATAATACATCTAATACATATTTACATCTTGTACAAATTTTACACTTTCTCCAATTAGGCACAAAGTTGATTTGTCAAACTCAATAACAAATGAAAGAAAAAAAGTGTTTAAAGGAGGAGCTTGAAATACATTAAGCCATTTATCGTAAGCTAGTTTGCTTGGGAAGTTTTGCTCCCATTAGGATTCCAGGGGTTAGAGTTGATGGACCTTTCATCTGCATGCTTGAACCAACCATCGTTGGGAAACTTCGATTCCTTCTAATGCCAGTGTTCAACTGAATGCTTCCAATAGCAGTTGTCACAGCAGTTGGGCAACCCAAAGGCAAACTCTCAGGCAGCAGGCCTCCAGGCTTTTGTGTTCCACAGAAAAGAGGTCCTTGTTCATCAGTTAATTTAAGAGCTTGTGTTTGCCCTGAACTTACTACCTTGGCAATTCCAAACCTTTTTACTTTGTCTACTAGGTTAAGGTTGGAGACAGACACATCAGTCTGACTCTCACTGTTTCTGATGTTCTTTTTGTCCCTTACTTCCTTCAGAATTGAACTAGCTGGTTTGGAAGCCAGGAAGTTGTCATAAGGAGGACTGGAACATTTGAACTCAAAAGATGGTGGGGAAGAAGGAGGTGTCTGCATAGGTGAGTTTGGAGGAGTGGAAGGAATGGCAGCCATTCTTGGAGAATATGTGCTCAGAAGAGTGCTCTTGCCCACTCTGTCCCAACTTTGTGGATTATACACTGCTGCTGATATCCCACGTTCCTTGAGTAGCCATACGAGTCCTAAGGATGTACTCATTGTAGTTGTGGATTCACGAACGTTAGTGAAGGATTCTACCAAACTCAGGCGTCGAGGAGTACATGGGGTGGCCACTGGAGTGCCTTTCATATTGCCAATACTGCTACAAGCTGGAGTAGGTGCTGCATTAAGGCTAAGGAAAAAGCAAAACCTAAGTTAATGTCTTTGCAGATATTAATATTAATGCACAGTATGGAAAACTTGTATTACTAACAATAGGCCTATGACTGCAGGCTTTTGAGACCATGTTTATCTCATATTTCTTAGTTAATAACTTCTCAATAGCCATTTTCAGGCACACTTTGAATTCAATTCACTCTCCTAACTCTTTTTGTCTAATAGGAAAAGATATGATAAACATATCACAGGTATAGCAAATAATTAAGTCTAAATCAGTTTCTGCTTCACAATAATTAACTAGGCACATATAAGCACAACTTACCAGCTGAAATAAAAATAATGCTTAAAGAAAATTTTACAAGAGATAAAATTATAGTATCAAAGAGGTTTTTAAATATAAGCTCCATGCAAATAAACCACATCCATAGTATGATCCTAAAAAGTACAATTTAATCTTTTGTGCACATGACTGAGCACTGTTAATATAGCGAAGTATAGACTATAATTGCACACATTTTATCTCAGTGTGGCCGATAACATACTATATGAAGAATGGACATATTCCTTTGTGAATAATAACCATCCAACTTTTTCTTAATCAATAACATTGCCACTTCCTTCCCCTCATAACAGCAAATCTGTGAGATGGGTTGGCTCAAGAGAAAGTGAGGTCACGGGGTAGATATTTAAGGAGATATGTAAGGAAATTTAATATTTCTTTCTACAAAATTCATTTATTTCATTAGCTTATTTAACACATAATTTAAAAAAATATAAGCAAAGCCTGAATATAAAGATAAAAAGGGCTGAATTATGTTTTGATGTCTATAAATTTAAAAAAGAACTGTTTTTTAGTCTTAGAAGTTATGAAGTTGCTCTATTTTTTATATATGTTATATAACGTTGAGAATGATTTTCTCCACATATAATAAAAGCAAAGTTCATGTTATGGTGACAGTCTAAAATTGTCGTGCTTAGTGGGCATTCATCTCAAATCAGAGCCAACTTCTTTACTTCTTATTTTTTAAAAACAAATTCATGCAGTAAGTTAGAAAATGCCAACCAGAAATAAGTTCTATTAAATAATGCAAAACACACAATGCACACCTTAAGTTGCATGCAGGGTATCTAGAGACTTGTTTTATTGTCCCAGTTGCAATCATTTGTTTTCCTTTCTCCACACTCTTGATTTATTTGTCTTTCAAGTATAGTATAATGAGATTTCTATCATCAGTACATTCCAATAACAGTGATGACAAGAGCAACAGAGTCTATGGAGATTCTCAGTCATCCAAGTCCCAAAGGTACTTTTTCAAAAGGCATCTAGACTTTCTGTGTTTTCTCTTGAAGATGTTTCACTTCTCATTCAAGAAGCATCTTCAGTGCTCATCATTCAGTCAGAACTGAAGATGCTTCTTGAATGAGAAGTGAAATGTCTTCAAGAGAAAAAACACAGAAACTCCAGTTGCTTTTTGAAAACGTGCCTTTGGGATAACAGCAATTCTTCTCTGGCACAGAATGAAATATAAACCTTTCTAATATCTTAATGGTTACGAATCATTTAATCCTTCAGAATAGATACAATGCAAAAGAAAAGAAGTCAGATTCTGCCTATCCAGTAAGTTCCAAATGGGGCCATATCTCAAATTTAACAAAACAAAAATCCAATTGAATTGAAACTTTTTGATATTAAGTCCACTGGTGAGCATTTATCTTGGACAATAAATAATTGATAGATGGACCCAGAAATAGATGATAGATAGATAGATAGATAGATAGATAGATAGATAGATAGATAGATAGATAGATAGATAGATAGATAGATAGATATAGAGGCAGTTTTTTTTGTACAAAAACATTTATGTTATCAACCTATGCAAAACTCCCTACAAATAAAAAAACTGCTGGAGTTTGAATAACAGTGGTAGATAATATAATTCACCATTATTGTGGCCTGAACGGAGGCAGATACTCAAGATATAAATAAATTAACCCTTATGTAAGTTAAATGGAGATTTCTATGTGAAAGTATTCCCAATTTTTGTCAAGTTACCTACAATATGTGGTTAATATTTGACAGGATAAAATGTTCTGTGCATATCCAATTTTTAAATCACTAAATGACTTGCTTCAATACCTTTTTGATTATTTCTGGCAGCAAGAATCTTTCTAATTCATAACAAGTTATGTATAAAAATTGGGTTGTTATATTTAGGCGTAAAATTATCACTTTTACCAGTTGCCTTCATGAGGGCAGAGAAAAACATCTAAACATGGGGACATAGTATACATATCAGCAGAATTCTTGGTTCTGTTAGCATCTACAATCTAGGAATCGAGATTATGAACTAATCTAGCTCATTAAAAGTAAGTCTGACAGCTTCCATTGAAAAAGCAGTTCTGTGTATTCCAATTAAAAACTAATTTTAATTGCACTTTAAAATAGCAAAGGATTACAAGATGCACACAGGCAAGTTGTAACACAGGCACAGATATGTACATGTTTGCACTTTGGACTAAACCATACGTTTATTAATTTGGGGGAGGGACGCTGATGTTAAATCCAACTATTATGGTTTAGTCTTATATAGTATCAAATTATAATGGCTTATGCAGCATACAAATAGTCCTAGACTTACAACCATTCGTTTAGCGACTGTTTGAAGTTATAATGGCAATGAAAAAAGTGACTTATGACTATTTTTCAGATTTATAACCACTTCAGCTTTCCCACAGTCATGTAATCAAAATTCGGATATTTAGCAATTAGCATTTATTTATGATGGTTGCAGTGTCCTTGGGTCGTGTGATCACCTTTTGTGACCTTCGACAAGCAAAATCAATGGGGAAGCCAGATTCATTTAACAACAATGTGACTATTCATTTAACAACCATGGCAAGTTAATCACTTAACAATTGTGGCAAGAACAATCGTAAAAGGGGGCAAAACTCACTTGTTTTGTTTAGCAATGGAAATTTTGAACTCAATTTTGGTTGTAAGTCAAGGACTCTCCGTAATATGGTACAAAAAAAATAATCCTGGCTTAATATTGTACAGGAGTATCAAGAACTATGTTACAGAATACACTGTCTATCAAAATAAAACTCCTAAGTGTTGGGCTTATAAAGAACACTAGTCTTGGAATGGCAGCATTTATAGAAGGCTGTAGCTTTGACACTGGGATGGTTTTGAGTTTCCTCATGATGTTTTAGCCATGGCTGTGTGGAGGGTTCAATTCATCTGTAATCTGTAATGATATATCGGAGGAAGTTTTCAAAACAATGTGATGGGTCATGGGAACTGGCATTGGTGCTGATAAGCATGCTGAATTGGTTTTGTAAGTCACAGAGTATGCAGAACTTGGGTGACAAAAACAAAGCCACCACACTGCACATTTCCCTTTGTTAATTCTTGGCAGATAATTCCAATTGTAGTTGTCAATACAATCAAGTCTCATGGCTGAGATTTCTGAAAGGATGTTTCTTTTATTTGGTTCTCCTGTGGGAACAGTGGTAAAGGTATTCACTGCACCAGTGTATTTGGAGAAAAGCGGAAAAGGGAAGCAGTTTTCTTTATACCAGATACTTTCAAAATAGAAAAGTGTAATTGTTTCATTACGTTGTGGAAAATCAGACTATGCTAAGTCATAATAAATGATATACCATTGTGAAATGTGGCTAGATATGATGATGTATGGAACGGTGGCATACAATAAATAAAATTAAAAGATCTTAGATTCTATGGGTACATATATATCTGAGAGCATGAATTGTAACTGTCACCCAGTTTTCATCTTGCCTTTAGTTTCTACTGTTCCTGAAGCAGGCTTTTGTATACAAAGTGACACACCCCCCTCCACTACTAGCAAGTCCTGGTAGAAATAAAAAGCTTTTATTCTTTGAGACTGCACTCCAAGTATGTGTATTCAAAGGTAATAGGCCTGAGCAACTACTGAAATTACTACTCAACCCAGACATAAAAAGACCCCAAGTTGGGTCAAGTTCAACATAAATTTTCAAATATCTTATGAATAAGGTAGTACAGGACGTCCCTGACTTATAGCCCCTACTGGGACCAAAATTTATGTGATGTTGCTAAGTGATGCAGTAATAAGGTGCAACTTCATAAGACTCCATTGCAACAGCAATGCCAACAACTCCCAATTGCCATCATTAACCAAATTCCACTGATTGTTAGCCAAGAATCCCAATCCAAGTTATTCTGAATATGGTGTCTCTCAGTCCCAAGCCTTGACAAGGTAAGCAAACTTCAACTCCCCTGCCCCCATCTATCTCCCTCCCATCTCTGCCCTTTTGGCCATCCTGCATTCTGCTTTGTGGGCAGTAAACTGCATAGCCCTAGGACTGCAAGCTATGCTGTGACGCAGGTGCTTCTTGATACATACACTGTGGCTCTGGGACTGCCACACAGCATAAGGCTCTTCATAGCAAGAAGCCCAGCCCAGCAGTGCAGTGCAAAGAGGTTTCTTCTGATGCCATAGCTCTGGAATGGCAGGAAGCCCCTGAACCACAGTGCATCACAAAGCCCAGTCCCAGCTAGCAGCATGGTCCAAAGGGGCTTCTTGGTGCACAATGGCTGTGGAAATCACCATGCACAACCTGGGGAAGAAAACCCCATTTGGCCAGCAGCTGCTTTGCAAAGGGCCAGGCTGGGCATGCTTCATAAGCAGTGGGAGCAAAAAGATGGTGAAGGTTAGCTTGGGCAACAGGAGCTGTGGAGTACCAGAAGCCAAAAGGACATAGATGGGAGGGAGACAGGTGAGTGGAGGAAACTGAATGGTTCCTGTGCATGTAAGTGCAGGTGGGTTGCCAAAGGTCTGAGAAATTACAAGGTGGAATTTATCACAATATTTTACCAAGTCATAGCTGAAACATTCCAAGAAATCGTTGCTCTTATTGAAAATGCAAATTAGAGAGAGGCAGCTATGTGTCCTGGCGTCTGATGTGAATTCTGAATGGAGAGAGTATAGGTCAAGGATTTAAGATTTAACT